GTCCGAGATTAATCAAAGTCCATCAGGGAGAACACATCCCGGCGGAGAGCAACTCTTGGAGCCGCTCGGATGCTGTTGGACTGATTTGTCAGCGCAGCCGAGTTGTGAGCAGAGGTGGAGAGAGATAAGCAATCTTTCTGAAATGGAGCCACGATGTCCAGTTACACGTGAGCGCTCCGCCGGGTCCTAAAGATAATACTGACAAATCTCAACTTCACCCGGTGGAAACACTGATGCTCCTGATAGTTTTTATCTCTGCGCCTAAACATTTCAGACATTATATGAGCTAAGCTATTTTGTAGACCAATAAAAACAGTTTGTTATGTTTTGTGGACTTAAAAATAGTCATCAACTCTTGGTGCGCGCAGAAAAGCCACTAATAAGAAACCAAGAATCTCTCTGAGGAAGTGTCCAACATGAGAACTTGGGAAAAACAACTTTAATCGACCTGATGCTGTTTAGAAACTGATTAAATACAGGATTCAAAATAGTTCCTTTGTCCTTAATAACAAGCTGCTTGATTAAAAAAAACTACTTTGAGTACAGATAAACTGTGTTTTTAAACATGATTTGGAAAAAAAAAAGGACAGAAAGGATTTAATGTGAACCTATCGCGTTCCAGCATCATGTTTTGATTGAAGCAAGTTTCAGGAATAAAATCTGAAATCTTAAAAAAGGGGGAAAACAATCACCTGTAAGGTATTAATAGAGCCAATCACTGATGCCCTGATTGCTGTTTTAGATCACACAGATGATTACAGTATCTCTACGACGCCTTGACTCGACTCGTTCAAGAAAAATAAACGGACCTTACCTCACTGATAAGAATGTCTGATTCGCAGGTGTCCTTGTAAAAAAAACATCAAAACCCCAAAAACGATCAAAAGATGGAAGAAAATGAACTGATCTGAGTTTGAGGAGTAATTATTCTGTCAATTCTGGGAGCGGAGCTGCGAGGAAAACTCCAACGAGGTGCGCCTGGATCGGGCTCCCTTTGCGCGGAGTCACAGATGTCACCTTCTCCACTACAGGGTGCCGGGCTGCGCGGAGAACAGCCATGGTGACAGGTCGCTTTGAAGACGCATTTTAATTGTGCTGTAATGCCAGCCGGTGGAGATTACACGACAAAGAACAGCCGCGCCCAGCTGAAGGTCAGCACCGTAACCGAGGAACCAGGATCCGGTGAAGGATCAGCGGCTGACTTTTTTTTTAAACTACCGAGTTGCAGATTTCCTCTCTGTTTTCTTGTTTTCTTTCTCCAGATGTTTTATCAAAATCGACAACTGACAGTTTGTTTCTGCTGCTGATTGCAGGTAGCTTTAAATGCAGCAAACTTCCCTGAAAAGCTTCAAAGTTTGGGGAAGTTCAGCTGTTTTTTCAGCTGCATTTCAGCACGCTGGACAGCTCCTTCAACCTAACTGGGTTCAAATGTTTATTATTTCACAAGTGGATGTCAAAGCACTTCAAGAGTTTTACTAAACAGGCAATAAAGGCGATGAATCTGTCCGTGACTTGTCTGTTAGCAAAACATTTCATGAACCGCCAGATGGGTTTTAATTAACCTCTTTAGAAAGTGGATGTACATCTGATTAATCATTTCAGAATGGCAGTCACAGCTAAACAAATTTATACAATTAAAAAAAGTGTCTGAATATTTCTATTTCAATTGGTCCAGTGTTGTTTGGAGTCCATGATGTCAAAATCAAAAAGCAGAAAAATGCTATAAATTTATTAGTACTCCATAGGGAAATACCACATAAACGAATCAAAGTTTAATCACTCTTCTCTCTCTTTTCTGGTGTTCATGAAGAAGTCTGAATTATATTATTAGCATATCTGACTCTAGTATAAAAAAGCTCTAAAACAATGGGGTTTTGCACTTTATTTAATGTTTTTACTCAAAACTGGCTTTTGTTTTATGTTTAAAAGTACATTAACTGTCTTCCACTGATTCCATTACTTTTAAACAATGTGCTATTTTTTAAATGTCAATAATTCAGCAAATCTTACATAAGCTGAGCTGAAATAGTAGCTGAGAGTCATTCCCAACACACACTCTGAACCTGATTGCTCACAATCTATCCTTTTTTATTTTATTTTGTTGTTACAGTTCAGGGTATTTTAAGCAAAACATTTTGTGAACTGCATGTATTTCAGGTGAAACTGCAAGTACACAAGCAAAAAATATGGATTCACATCATATCATAATGGCAATCAAAGCTATAATGACTCAAACTTTATGTATTTTACACATATTGTGCCAAAACATTGTGTTGTAACATTCCAAAAATATTGCACAACTCCTTTGCCTAAAACCTTGGCACTGACTCTGTCTGTTAGCAAAATATCTCATTAAGCAGTGAACATATTTCAAGTACATTTCTAAAAAGTCATTATTAGATGTGCATTTACAACTAATGAGCTTTTGGGATCTACTCAATCAATGATGTCATCACAGAAATGACTGAAATGGCACAGAAATGATTACAATTCATTAAAGTTTGAAAGTAATCAGGTAAAACATCCCTTCCAGATTACAATACAAATATCTGATTTTCATTACAAACTATTCATCTGTTATGATAAAAGTAGATTTTGGTCACAAAAAACCAAAGTCAGTGCTGAACTACATGACTTAGTCATACTGTCTTAAATCCAAAAATACTATTTTTACAGAGCTCATAAAATGTAGATAGAAAGAAATCCCTCCAAAACTTTCACAGTTTTTTTCTCCAGAAATCATTGGTGTATGACAAAGATCCAGAGGTGGAGCGTGGCCCCCTCACCCTCTGCATGTCCTTTCCCTCTGTGCCACCGAGAGCCCGGACTGACAGAGATGGAGGGTTTGCTGTTTCATTCCGCTCACAGGGGTCTATTGATGGTTTCAAAGTGGAGTCCACCTGCCACAGCTTTAATCATCCGTGACCCCGGCTGCATGTTGGAAGACCACCGAGGGGTGGCAGGGGTGGGCTCAGCAGTCCCTACTGGGATATGTGAGCAGTCAAGAAAAAAAAAGAAAAAAGAGAGAGAGAGAGGGGAACAGAAAGAGAGACGGACATGAAGAGATGATGAGGAAACACTGGGACCTGCACTGATAAGGAGGAGTGTAGGGAGTCAGTTTCTCTGCACGCTTCCTGAGCTGCAGAAAAACACAGGATGCCATCAAGCTTTGGGTTTCTTTTCTTCTCTAAGAAGTTTGATTCGGTTAAATGTATTATTGGTGTGTTTAATGAGGTTTTCTCCAAAGGTGAAACACAGTGAATCAGCATGCAGGCACAACTCATGGCTGCCAAATTAATTCAATTTATTCCAAAGCCTTTCTTAAGGCCAAGGTTGTAATCATGGCTTGCAATTAGATGGGATATAAATATTAGATCACCTAACTTTGCAAGTCCAAATGAAAGTGAACCTAAAGGATTTTTTAGCTGTTGTTAATTTCCATAAAGACTTTAGGTGCTTGTGGCTATAATTAAAGCAAAAGTGGCCTACAGCACTGTGCAAAACTCTTGAGCCACTCCTGACTTGTGCATATTTTCTTTCAGAGAAACCAAACTTTTCTGTAAGTTATTGTGGAGCATACTTCTGCATTTCTGAAGGTCTTTCAGTATTTGTTTTTTAGGCATTATGGAAACAAGTTTAGGAAAGTTGGACAAATTCATCAGAAAATGTACTACAGTGTTTATGATACAGTGTTTGGAAATGATGTCATGAAGTGGCCACAATGCATCAGTTGACCATCTGCACACCCAGCATTTCAGCTAACAGCTCTTTAGGAATCACCTTGTTAGGGGGAAATCTTTTATAGTCTGTAGATTTTGATTGGCTCTTGCTCCATTAGTTCCAAGATGTCCTAATCAGCTCCTACCTCCTGGCTATATTTAATATTAATTTAATGATCCTGTTTGTTTAATTCACATGTCGTCTTTTGCTCATTTGCTGTTACTCTGTGACCAGGTCAGCTTCAGTTCCTGTTCTGTTTATTTATTTATTTAGTAGACCTTTTTTTTTTCATTTCCGCTAGTTTTGTATTCTGGTTTGTCACACACCTGCTCTCCTTAACTGATCACCACATGTGTTGTTATTGTTGGATTTATTCCCTCAGTGCCTAGAGCCTCTGCACCAGTTGAAATTATTTTATTTTATTTTATTTTATTTTATTTTTTGTTTTGTTTTTCTTCGCAAGACTCTTCTCACAGTTAGCAATCACTGTTTGCCATGATTGTTGGCTGCAAATACGTCTTTAGCATTCAGCCCATTTAAACTGTCTTCTGCATTTGGATTTCTTTGTTTGGACTATTTACTTCAGCATCACTGTTAATCAACACAAAAGTAATAATAAACATATTTTAATTGTTAAAACATGACAATATGTTGGTATGTTTGAAGCTCTGTCTAAAGAAATGGAACAAACTGTGTTATTCTGACAGATTCTTGTCAACTAAGAGGAGCTATACAATTTAAATTGGCGTAAACACAATATTGCTATTACTCTTTATTCTTCTTGAATGAGTTATAAGAGGTTCGTTTTTTTTCTTGTTTCTGAAGTGGATTAACAAGCATGGCCTTCTTTGTCAGATGCTGTCCGATGCTTGAAATCACTTGATTACAGCGACGTTTGACTCACTGGAAGCAAAATGTAGACTAAAGAGGTAGCTCGAGACTTTTTAAAAAGTATTGACAAAAGTTTTGCTCATGCTCTTGGCTGAGAATATTCCAGCTTCTTAGCTTTTCTGATTATATCGTCAGACATCTTTTGGTAACTGAAGTGGAACTTCACCTTTTGAAGTGGTGTGTCGAGGCACCGTGTGGTGGCGCATGACAGCGGAGCTTTATCACCAAGTGAGACATGGTTGTGAATTTGAGTGGGTTGTTACCGAGCATAAAAGTCTCTGTTTACAAGGAGTGTGTGATGCTGCTCTGGAGAGGATGCCAAGTCTACTGTGGTGAAGAGGAGTGTTCAGGGCAAAGGAGGAGAAAGGAGTTCAAACTGCCATTTATGATTGTTTGAGTTGCTGCAGTGTGGCCTGTGTTTGTCAGTGTTTAAGTGGCTGTGAACATGTGGTCAAGTGACAGTAATGCTCATTTCTGTGGCTCAAAGTGTATAAAATGTTTGGGAAATCTTCCTCAAACTTTACATATCATGTTCTCAATGCACACGTTATGTATGATCTATTTAAATACAAAAAAGCTGTATCTTTTACTAGCTTTAGATGTTTGATATATGTGCCATCAGAATCTTGAAAGCAAGTTTTTATTTAATAATTCACAAAAAACTGTAAGAGTGATGAATCTGCACTAGATTGGCACAACCATTATTTTTGCACAAAGCAGACAAATCATGCAAATTAGCTTTCATTAATCAACTTTGCAGAACTTAATCTGAGAATATTTTACATTTTGTTTGTTTCTGAGTGTGTCCACTGTCTGTGGTATCCTCTGCTTATTTAAAACCTTTGTTAAAGGATACAGTAAAACATATGTTTAATGCCACAATTTACAACTTCACCGTGCTTTTACTTTACTTTTTCTTTTTTCTTTTTTTTTACTAATAGGGCTGAACAATATATCAAAACTTTATTGTCATTGTGACAACAGTGTATCACAAAAACCTGTACAAGCTGCAATAAATGATTGGCTCAAAAGTTTGCATTTCAGTATTTCACCAATCATTTCACCAACACATGGAGCCCTTCATGTCTTTGGCTAAATGGATATATCTTTTCATATTAAAAAAAACATTCTGGATTGAAAATAAGTTTTTTTCTGCTCTGGGTTCAGAAATTATCGCAAACCATACCATCATCTCAATACTGTTATTGTACATCACAGGTTTCGTGCAATTACTATTAATATGCTGTATGTATTTTACTCATCATTCCACAGTTTATTCTACCAATTAAACTTTAGGTGATAATTCCTTCATGCTTTACAAATAAATCCTACAAAAGCTGAATGCTGTAGTATTCTATATTTAAATGTCAGTAAATTGTATAACAAATACTCTACCCCCACCCCCCCAAAAAAAAATAAATAAAGCATGTTTCAAGATCAAGTTAATGT